TAAGATCCTCCTGCTTGAGTTTGAGCTTCTTGAGGAGGTCCATGTACATAATTTTAGAGGAACTCCCTGGATCAATTAGAAGCCTCTTTACATCGTAATTTGTAATCCGAAGTGTTACAACTAATGTATCATTGTGTGGCTGATGAACCCCGATCAAGTCCTACTCAGTGAAGCAGATGGCCTCAGTTGACTCTTCCACCTTGATCCTTTTACTCTTAACCTCTGGGGTTAGTCGCAGCTAATAGACTTCTCTTTTTTTAGCAGCTTTCTAAATATATGCCCTAGCAATGTTGTTTGTCGACATCTGTGGATTCGTTGCAGCGTGGATCACATTTATCACCCCTACTGCTGTGGTCTGGTCCCCTTTTGGCTTGATCCTTGCTTAGTCGGTTCTTGCACTGTCCTCGATGAACTAGGCGAGGTGTCCAGCCTGGATCAGTTCCTCCAAATGTTGCTTCAAAGATTGGTAATTTTTGGTCATATGACCTATATCCCGATGAAATGAGCACCTGAAATTAGGATTCCTTTTCGAAGGATCCCCTGTTAGCTTATTGGGCTACTTAAAAAATGAATTTTCCTTGATTTGAGTCAATATTTTATATATTGGTTCTTTGAATAGTGTATTTACCCCAATAAAGGGAGACTTCTAGGGAAGTTCCTCCATTTTTGCTCGGTTCAGTTTGCTTATCTCAGTCGAACTGCCTTCTGCTTTGATGATCCTTAACCACATCTTTGGGTAAGTTGTCATCGACTTTAGCATACTTCTCGATTCTTGCCATTAGTTCTTCCAGGTCGGTGGTTGGCCTCTTGGTGAGTGATTGGTATAAAGGGTTCTCCTTTAGCAACCTGATTTTGAAGGATGCAATTGTAATTTCGGGATTACAGCCTTTGACTTCATTAATCGTCTCTCAGTAGCGATGAGCGTATTCTCGCAAAGTTTCATAACTTCGTTTCTTCAGTGTTAGTAGTGCCCCAACATTCTTTGGCTGCTTACTCCTCGTAATAAATCGAGCTGTGAACTACTCGACCAATTGTGACTATCCGTTTATAGATTCCTTCGGCAAGTTGTCGAACCACTTCATGGACGACTCCCCGAGGCTGCTAGGGAAGATGGTGCAAAGCAGGGGTTCATTCCTTCGATGAATGGTCATCAATTGTTTGTAATGTCTGATGTGGGAGGCTGAGTTAGTCTTTCCATCGTAAAACTTAAAGTGCAGGATGGTGAATTTACTCGGGATTCGCCCCTTTTCAATCCACAAAGTGAAAGGAGATGACTTTGAGTCGTCTCCGTATTCTCCTGTTGCTCTTCTAGCTAGGTCTCTAGCCGATCTCTACTTTGGCCTCTTTAAATGGTTGTTGAGTTCTTCGGTAATAAATTGCTTCCATGAGTCCTCCTCCTGGACCCGAGGTCTTTTATGTTGGTACTTATCATCATCCATTTTTTTGGTTTTGTCATGTTTCTTTCTGGGATTTTCTTGCCAGGTTTCCCTTTCACGCTTCTCCTTCCTAGTCATCTTCGTCAACCTAGCTTTGAGTTCCTCTTTCTCTTTTATTAGATCTTTTTCCCTGGCATAGGATTTCTTGAATAACTTGTCATGTGCATCTAGTCGGTCTTGTAGGGATTGGACCAACTTTGCTAAGGAGTGATTCTCCCCCTCGGCACAGAGGGATTCACCACGATCTTCAACTTGCTGGTTCTGGTTCATAGATGGTTTGAAACTTACTGAAGATACTTTGCCATCCCTCGTGGGGTCCAGATGGGCTTTTATTTACATGCAACTTAACGTTGTTATCAGACGGAAGTGACAATGGATTAGAATTCCTTAAGGCAAAACTATCTATTGGTGATCCAATGGTACTTCTGAGTCTTGACATCGTAGCTTTTTGTTTTGATGGATAAAAATCTTCCTACAAACGACACAAAAAATGTAAGAGGTAAAAAGTGAAATTACCCCTCACTGGAATAAGATTTGATATTTCTGGTAAAGAGGGTTTCTCAACTTGATCTCATAGTCGTTTCTTCTTGCAAAATGAGCAAACTATCCAAGATCGAAGTGCTTCGATTAAAGGCACTCTGATGCTTAAATCAGTAATGAAACTGATTAAAATGCCAATAGACATGGAGAGTTCAACCTATCTTTCACATTTGCTTCTTGTGCCTTTTATAAATCCCTGTTCAGTTAGGGTTTCCTTGATTTCTGATTCAAGGTGACACACCTTCTTTCAATTCAACGATTCTGTTTGGGAAGTTGCTGAAATCTCTCTAGTAATCCCCTTAGCCTGGCCTACAATTAAGCCTATTAGCTTATCTAGGATGCCAAAGTTATAGGCAAAACTTTTGCTCTTCGTTTGACTGTTTCAAACAACTTGGTTGCAATGAGGACCAACCTCTTCGCTTTCTCACCGAACTCATCGAACAGCTCAGCCCTTTCTCATCGAACTCATTGAATAGCTTGGCCTGGTCTATTTGTCTGAGTGATTGATGTCTTCCTTACGTGCCTTGTCTAGTCACTCACGTGAGCTCATTTAATATTGTAATACGTGTAATAAAGGGAACCACCCCCTTCAATATATATATATATTAGGGATAATTTGTGTCTAAAATCATGGTATAATATGAATAGTTTTGAGAAGAATTGTTAATGACCGTTGGATGAGTTTATTTGAGACCGTCAAATGAACTTATAAAAATATGTTATGTTTTATATTATAAACATATAAAAGATTATGATTATTCACTGCCTTGTTAACAAATAATTCATAATGTGAAGCCATTTGATATAATATCCAAAATATTATAGATAGTTTTTATAGAAGTTTTTTTTGTTTAACGGTTAAGGGTGTCTGGATCAATTTATGCACATTTTGACTAATCTCATTTCTAGTTCGGTCAAAACCAGACCATTTGTGCTAGGACTAGGGCATTCACGAAGAATTTATCTCTCATGACCTAATCTCAAGGAATTATCAAGATTTAAATTTAAGACGTCTGAATTTACAGTTTACCTCTATTACCACTTGAACTACCCTTGCTATTAGTTTTTATAGAAGTTTTTAAGCAAGAAAAGAGTGAAAAGCAAAAATATTAAAAATTTAGGGGTCATTTGGTAATATTTTTATTGTTGCATTTTCAAAAAATTTAAAAATAGAGACAATGTTTTTTTTTTACTTTGTGGTAAATACCAAAAATATAAAACATATTTGAGAGTCATTTATATTTATCAAATTATGAGAATAAAAACTAAAAATAAGTTTAGTAACCACGCAAGTTATATCCTAAACATACAAATCATAACTAAGAAAAGTTCTAATCAACATTTATGTCATTCCATAACATATAACCATTCACTAATGCAGTAGTTCTAACACACTCAATAATTGGGAGTAACATATGCACTCATGAAATTCTCTAAACATATATTACACTCATGAATTTCAATATATCTACAAATTTACCCACAATATGTTCAACATATACATAAATTCACCACAATATATTCACATATATTCAACATATCCACAAATTCACCCACAATATACACTTAGATAGACTTTGCTGACTCAGTACACACACACACAGAATCAACACACATAGACGAGGACAGAAAATAATTTGTTTAGTGGAAATCGAGTCACAATCAACACCCACACACAAATATTACACCCAAACCCAGAAATCTAGAAATCACGATCAACACCAACTCACGCCAAACCCAGAAAATCAACATCCACACACAAATCTAACTCAGACGAAGGTGAGAAAGAGGCTGTTATGGAGAGGGGTGGCGATGGAGAGAGGTAGTGATGAAATTGAGCCATGATTGAACAAAGTTGTGAGGAGCACGATCGAACAAAGCTGTGAGTGACAATCGCTAGAGAAAAGGCAATCGCTGAAGAAGAGATGATCGCCGATGGAGGCTTCGTTGAATGGATAGAGACGATGGAGATAGGAGAGATAGAGATGCGATGGACAACAAGAGTATGAGTTTAAGTAGTTGGCCAAAAAAATGACTTTTTGTTGCTAACAAAGCTCGAAGCTTGTATCTCATTCATTCCCCTAAGCCCCCCGCGTGCGTGTTTCTGTTTCTCTTGTTTCTTGGAACATCTTTTTTTTTGTTTCTTATTTTTGGTTCTTGTTCTCAAAGCAATTTATCTTATATATATAAAAAAAAACACAAACTCAAACGTGCTTTTGTTTTTATTTTTAGTAAAAAGTGAAAAAAAAAAAACACGAAACAAAAACATCAACCAAACGCAAGCTTAGTTTTTAGTATTCAACTATTCCGAATAATTTAAGAATTGTAGAATTGTCGCCAATGATCAAGTTTGTCCTCTTATAAAGAGGTCTCAAGTTTGACACTTCTCATATTCCCTAAAAATTAGTCACTCTTATTTTTTAGGAGATATAATTTTAAATTAATTGGAGCTACGATAATTGATTTTTGAGTTCTAGAAAATAGTTAGCGCAAACCTATACACCTTGTAGTAAAAAATAATTTAAGAATTACCAAAATATTGAAATTATTAATTATATTCAGGAAATATTAATAATAAATTAATTTTTTTAACCATTTGTGTTATAATAAAATTTCGGGTACATTCTATATTGTTCTAATTTTTTATGAATTGTGAACCAGAGTGACAAAATTTTCTTTTTAAATCATTCCCCGCCTTTAGTTTCAAAAGGGCCCCACAACGTCATCCCCTCACGTGATTCAACCCGCGCCACCACTATGCTGACACCACCAGGTCAAGCACCCGCCAATCCGAATCCAATCATCACGGACTTATCCTACGTGTCTTCCTCGAAAACATAAACATATTAAAAAAATAAAAACAAAATTACTAGCCATTAAAATCTCAGCCGCGCCTCCCACATTCTCTCCCTCTCTTCCTCAGAGCACCAGAGACACAGACGAAGTCCAAACTTTTCCCCAATTATCTTCACCAATCCAAAACCCTAAACCCAATACCAGAAATTGAGAAAAATTCCACAGACCATGATCAATATTAAACACACCGAAACGACGTCGTCTTCTTCAATCGTCACGGCGGAGAAGGCAATCTCATTCATTTCAAAGGGCTGGCGGGATGTCCGGTCATCGGCCGACGCCGATCTCCGATTGATGAAAGACCGTGCCAAGTCGTTCAAGAACTTAGCCTCCTCCTTTGATAAAGAGCTCGAGAACTTTCTAAATTCAGCTTCTAAATCCCCTTTCACGGTCCCCACAATTACCGCCTCTACCACTCCCGCCGAAATCGACTTCGTCAAGAGGCTACAGCCGAAATTGAACGAAATTCGGAAGACTTATTCGTCACCGGATTTTAGTAAACGAGTTTTGGAGAAGTGGAGCCCTCGGCCGAGGATAAGGATCGATTTGAGTGCGATTAAGAATGCAATAGTGTCCGAAGTGGAGGTGTTTGATGAGAGAGAAGGATTTAGGAGGGCGAGAGCGAGGAGGATAAGGTTTAAGGAGGGGAGAGAGGAAGGGCAGTTTGGGGAATGGGAACTGATAAAGGTCTTGAAGACTAGGTTGAGGGAGTTGGAGCAAAAGAGCTCGTCGGCTGAGATATTTGGGGGTTTTAAGAACAGTGAGTTCGTGGAGAAAGTGAAGTCCAGTTTGGTATGAAATTCGAATTTCATGTGTTGTTTAATTGTTTTGAATTTTTTATATACAGTAGGATAACTCAATAATAAATTGGTTGAATTTTATTTTTGGATTTTTCATAAATTTTCATATAGGATCCATGCATTTTGTATTTGGCTTGATTCTAGGTGATAACTGGGTGGTCAAAAGGGGTGGATTCAATTATGTGTGAAGATTTTAATTTAATTTTAGGTTTGGTTTTAAATTTTGAAAGGGTTCATGTAACTTCTATGTCTTAGGCAGCAATTTGGAAAATGTTTTTTTTTTAATGTGTTGCGCAATTGAACCTTGGAAAAGGTCAACAAGGAGTGTGTAAAGGTGAAAATATTTTCTTGTAGTTGATACCCGGCGGTGGACAGAAGATTGAAGAATGGAAATCATTTTATAAGCATTTGTAGTTTTGATTTTCTTGTTATATGGTCATTCTAAAATGAATATATTTCTATGTGTACCGACATATACGTGTGTATGTTTCACTTTGCTAATTCCTCTTTCTATTGAGTATAGCATGCCCACATTTGAAAATTATGATTCTTGCAATTCAATAACGATGACTAGAGGTTATCCTTGAGGAAGTTACAGCGTTAACCTATTGGTTCAATATCTATAATGGAAATCTCAAAAATTCTTTTGGGCCTTCAAACTTCTGTTATAATCTCATGAAACTACGAAAGCTATTATAGAAGGGCTTTTAAGTTAGCAAGTGTTTTCTAAGAATGGGTTTTGAAGTTTGTACTTCTTTGTGTTGTTTAAATAAAGCCAGACAATACTGATAATGACTCAAGCACTTTTAGTAACAAAATACATAGGTCTCTTCCCCCGATCAACTTTTCTGTGTGCTTTTTGGTTACATCAAGTTCCGGAAAGTATGAATTCAGAGATACAGGACAAGAATTATTGTAAATAAATGAAATAGTTTAAACAGGTAAAATGGATCTTCCCCAAACTTTGGAATGGCCCAAAACAAGAAAATTATATACTAGGTTGGAACAATTAACCAAAATTCATGGGAGAAGAGTGGAATATTCTAGGTTGGAAGGAAAACTATATTCCTGCAAATGACCAATCTGAGAGATTATTTATTTGATTTGTAGTTCCTATAGTTCATTTGAAGTGTATTTTGGCTTGTGTTCAATTGCTAGTTGGAACAATTAGATTTACTACCTTGTCCTGGTTTATGTTTTGAGGCTGGATATTCTATATGGAGGCACACACACACGCACATTATGAAGATGTTTTTATGAAGGAACTAGTTATGGCTGAAGGCAACATGTTCCTATTAGATATAATTGCCTAAACATGCAATGAGCATTAGAATTGTG